TCGTCTCGATCGAGTTAGAAAAGAGCCAAAACTAACCTAAACTTGTCTGTCTGCAAATGACATTTTGTACACATTCACCCATCAGCACAACATTTCCAGGAGGAGATGAAACCAACCCACATGTCCCAAACTCAAATATTTATCCCCTTTTTCTTTTTCTTACCGAGTGCCAAATGTCTGAAAGACGTTAAATTCCCCTGTTGTAAACCAAAATCCCTCCAATTAAGAAGTTAACACGATGAGAATAATGCTCTCCTGCTCTGACGAGCTTTAAATTTTGGACAACGATCCACATCAACCCTGAAAATTGAGACCGCAAAACGTACGTCTCTCTCTCTCGCCAGCATTTTGGTCTTGTTTTGTATTCAAGTAATTCGAACCGGAGAGTATCGAATGGTTTTGGTTGGTTGGTTGAGCTCTTATACGTATAGTGATAGTACGTACATAGTGAGTGGTGACTATGCAAATGAGGAACGTGGTTTGTGATGAGGATGATGAGTCTCGTAAATCTGGAGGGGGCAATAAATCAAGGGACGACGCTTGTCGGATGTCCGTTCTCCAACTCGGTTCATCGACTACAACTCGACTTTCCTCCATGTATGATTTCTGACTGACTTTGTAATTATAATTTAGAGGAATTGGTCAAAGAGGGGGATAAGAAAAAGCCCCTCGCGCACATTATAATAATTTGGGGAAAACAGGCAAACTTTGTCCCAGCGATACCATCAAACCAAAAACTATTGAGATTTTCTCTCTGCCTTTTCGTGGCAGACATGATTGCGCTGAATTTCCTCCTCTTTAACCCATGCACCGACGAGAGAAGAGCTGATGAATAAGTACGTACTATGTAAGTACTACGTACGTACGTACGTACATAAAAAGAGACGAATAATAAGAGATAGAAATATGGATGGAGTGCAGCCAAGAGTTGTTTCTCTTTTTTTATGATTATAATATTAGTTAGGAGCAGTAGTATGCCTGGTTTTGTTGGCTGATCTGATGAAGCTGAAAGGAATTCCATCGCATGGCAAAAGCGATATCACCTCCAGCCATATTATTTACAATGAACAAAACAACACATACAACCAACAGCCAATCCAGCCGCTTTTATTATTATTACGGCATGGATGGATGGAGCAATAATCAAAAGGCTGCTGGTGGTTACAACAGTTTACATTACCACAAGGCTTCATAATCCATATAATATGCGTCAAGTTCAAGATGAATCATTGAATTTTATTCGATAATGGAACAGCATATCGAGCTTTGTGATGTATGTAAAAATGGAAAAATGCTCGAACATGTTGTGAGCTATGATGTCCATGTCTTTATATATTTTTAACGCTGCTGCTCTACTGCTGGACGGAGTTAATTGGAAAAGGTGGACGCTGATGGAATAGACCATTAATTAATTGCACTGGGATGCACGTATTAATTAGTCTGGTGAGTATAGGTCACCATTATCGTTGTCGTATGCATGTACTCGTATCATCGATATGTATGGAGTTGAACGTGAAAAAATGATGCAGCTGTCTTGTCTTTCATTATTTGTGCCTCGTCTCGTGCTTTTTCCATTGTGCAATTTCTTTGCAAATTGCTACTTGTAGGCAGGACATGAACCGAGCACCAAGCAAAGTTTATTATTTTCTTGTTCTTTACCTTCGGATAGGATGACACGCAATGGAAAGCATTCTCGACCACACCACTAAGTCAACATAAATAATTGGCAAATATCTTTCACCAGGTGTCTTGTATCGGGGTTGAGCAGAATTTGAATTTAGTGTTATTAGGTTCATCCTGAATCCAATTGAGGAGAAACGAAAAACGCTTATATAAAAATTGTTAGTCAAGTTACAATCACATTCCGGGAATTGCTAGCACGAGCGAACACTTTTTTAAAAGAAAAATGTCATTATTTTCCGGCATTGTCAACTCTTTTGTATCTCGCTTAAATCCTGTCTGTGGCTGGTTACATTACATTTGTTGAATTACACCACATTTAGTTTTCAAAAAAGGTAAGAGAGAGACGGACACCATGGGGAAAACCACTTGACTCTAACTTGACTCTAAGCAGTGCTTAGTAAGCACTGCTAAGATGACGTGACATTTTACAAATAAAACAAAAAGTCAACCTTGCATCACCTATGAAATCTTTGACTATGATACCTGTCGATTTGAACAAACTTTGGAATCTCGTGAATCCTTTCTTACATATATTCGCTATACAAATTCGCACACATGCATTTTGTGTATTTGACTCTGTCCTGTCGTGTACGTGCCTAATAACTGTATCACTTTTTGATTCAATCACTAACTATGTACTGTCGCCTGTAGTCTCTACATGTTCATGCATGTCTCTCACTCCATTATATATGTATATATGCTTATATGCGTAAATATGTATTTGTGTGAGTCCTTGCTAAGTATTTTATTATGAAGTGTTAAATCTCTCCTTAAAACGATGACTCCGCAACGCAACGAAGCCACATGGATGGATGAGATGACATGAGATGTTTTTAATAAAAAGTCGATGACGAGGGGAGTGAATAAGTGACAATGGAAGGATGACTTGGCATCCGAACTGACTTGCACTTTTCGCCACCACCAGCGCAAAGCTAGGTCCGTGTCAAAGCGTGACCCACACCACACCACGCCACACATATACGTACATACGTTCCAAATAAAGCCCTTTTTGCTGTCCACAGGATAAGTAAGTTAGCAAATAATAACAATATCGACATCGACACATCATACGTAGTCACATTACATAAGTGAACATGTATCTACATATTTATGTATGCATGTAACAAACAGGTCAACCACATAAATAAGTGACCGTAATAATCGATTCTGCGTGTATGAAAAAATAATATTTCGACGAGGGTGTTGCATGGGATGTTGTTCAGAGGAAAATATTGAGCATCTATGACACCTCACATCCCAAAGGAAGGCTTGGGAATAGGATAAGAAGAGGTCAGCTCTTCTTCCTTTCTCCTGATGCACACAGAGGAGGGCTAAAATTCCTCAAGAAATATGCATGTGTCGAATAAGAAGAAGGGACCCCTGTGGCTCACAGATTACAAGAAGACCTGTGTGCACGTTCATGTTCCATTCCATCTAGTTCACCTTTTAGTAGCAGTCAAAGTTTACTCCAAGACCAAATTGAATCATCGATTGCCACATATACACAAACCAAAAGAGAAACCAATCTGCTAAGCTAACACAATGTGTTAGCTTAGCAGACTGTTTGGTACAACAAGTACAAAAATCTATAAAATAATATCATCTCTCAAAAAACCTAGTCCACTCGTTAAAAAATGTTGTTCATTTTAACAAAATCTTCAAAAAGGCCCTTAGAGCAGAAGATTTACAAAGGGTACACATCGATCTATCATTTTCTCATGGAAAAGAACCCTTTTCGAAGTATTTTAGAATTTCGAGGAGATTTTTTCCACTCGAGTAAAGTAAACCGAATAAGAGCTACAAGTGAGTCCCACATTACATGACAAGAGATGAGTTAACTTTTAAAATTCTGACCTGGCCTTCGCTCTACTTAGATATTTCCCATCAACTTCTCACTCATCCCTTGGTCTTTCGATGATGCCAAGCTTCATACAAGACCTTTACGTAGTTTTACCTTTATTTTATCAACCCAACCAACAAATTGAATAGAATTGAATAGTGTAAAGAAGGAGAACAAGAAAGAAGGAAGAAAGGTGCGTTGGCTCGTTGGTGGTGGTGAGCTCTTGGGTAGAGGGGACCCATTTAATCGGAATCACAATCTGACTCGGTTGGTCGAAGCAGCGCAGGGGACTTATTCTCCGACCTTTTCTTCCTTTTCTCTAGAGCAACTTGAGCCAGGTAACAATATCCTCGAGTGAGGTGAGGTGACTTGGCCAGAGCATCACACACACAACACATCACGCAGCAACAAAAAACAAAAATTCTGTTCACTTTAGCTGGAAGATACCTTTGAACTTTTGTAAGTTTCCAGCTCAAGTGAAATGGTTATAGTTTATTGTAGCAAAGAGCACAACCTTTACTGGGAGATCGTCACATCACTTGGTGGTTGGTGTGTGTGTGTGCCAATGCGAACCTCATTTTTATCGGGAAGGGTGTGGAAAACACTTTACAAAATGAAAATATGGGAACGCATCTAGATTTGTTACCAACTGTTATTCGTTAAACCACCTTTTTTCGTTAAGAAGAAACAAATCAATCCATTACGTAATTCTCTTATTGTCGATAGGATTACGCATTGTCGTCGCAGTGCCAAATTGCAACTTTTTCTCGTCGTTTTTTTACCAGTAAAAAATCGAGGTTTCATTTGGTAAAATGTGCAATAAAATATTATGGAAACGTGTGAGCCGTGCACTTTACTTTCCAGGTTCAGGTAATAAAGAGGAAGGAGGATGATTGCGGGGTAGTTGCATAATTCCAGGGTTGTGGATGTAATGCCCATCCTTGAGTTGGATGAGGTGCACTTAATTTGTACTCTGGCCCACCATTATGTTACCTTATACCATTCCCTGCTTCTTTTAGTGGGATAGTGAGATAGCACACGTATTATGGCAGCAAGTAAGAGTGTAGTATCGTATAGTGTGGTTTAGTTTCTGGATAAGGGATCCGGTTTCTTGCATCAATTCACATCAAACAGCTGGGCCACAGGACAAATTACCCTTATCCACTCGTTCTCTATCTTATCTCATCCAACGGGCCTTAAATCATTCTAGACCACTTTTCAAATTCTTTAGTCACACCACTATTCACTCCTCTTTACTATCAGAGGAAGGGCTGAATTATTTCCATGTCCTTTATAAATTAGTCAACAGCATTGTCAATTTATTTGCTTAGAAGCAAATATCATGGCATTTATGCGAAAATTCGAGCAACATAAAGTTGAACATGTAGATTAAAGGATGCTGAAATCTAACATAACACAACCCACCCACCGAGATGATGTTTTCTACCTACAAAAATGTGCAAGATTGTCGTCTTACCTGTTTGGAGAATACGGCGATATCTTCATTGAAGGACTCTGAGGAGCAGACGTCGCCCCCAGCCACACCCGGCTCGCTAAAATTTTCATACATATTACTAACCCAAATAGAGTCAGGCATTAGTTGTTTGTAGCATATTTCTCTTACCGAGGGGTACACGTGGCTAGTTCACACTTTTCAAATATGAGGGCGAGTAGAGGGAAGAGTGGGTGACTGTAAACCAAAAGTAAAAGCATAAAAATTTAGAAAACATTCAAATTCCTCGCTGTAAACAAGAAAGAAGCCATAATTTTGGGAAATGCTTCTCATGGGAACGATTCCCACTCTACTGGTCCGGGTTTCAAAGCGCACATAAGTCTCCTACACACACAAACACACCGGTCGTCTGGTGTGTAGCGGCAGTGGCTTATCTGCCCCATATAACTTACACCTTTGCCAAACCCTCTTTTGTCCTCATCTTACTCGAAAATACGGAAGAGCAAACCATTATCATTTCCTAACAATGTGTGTACCAAACTCATTCAAAATAAATTACAAGCTGTAACCGGGTAGAAGTGGTAGAGAGGAAATTCATGAAGAAAGCTTTACAACGGGAGTGATGAATTTAAAAAAGTGGTCGTCCTATGCATATACATATAGGCAAAAAACGTATGTATACACATGACCGTACATACATGTTGTGTGATCTGTTTTCTGTTATATCTCGGGTGAAACTAACTTTGTTTAGTTTCGGTTTTTCAAGTGAAACTGCATTGGAGGAAGGAAATGATGCACTTTTCCATTAAGTTTTCTTGTTTGGTAGAGGGTGAGTGGCTGTGAGTAGTTGATATTCATACATGTGTGTGTCGTGAGTGTGTATGGCAGCACCAAAATACGGACGATTTATCTCTGTCAAGGGGTGCATCTCCCAAAACTCCCAAACTGTGAAATTGCCAACATTTCCATTCCGACGAGACGACAACGACGACACTTGACTCACTCCTCAAATGGATTCAAATAATAACAAAATACAATCCTCTCCTCCATTTATGTGCATTTCTCGCTTCTCGTCCTTCGTGACGCTTTACAGATTAAAATAAAAATGAGCTGCTACAAACTATAAAATTAATGTAGAATTGGAGCCAATTTCTAAATAGAATTGTGCATGGACCACTGCATACGAAAATTGTCATAACTGCATCACGATCACGATTTATGCGAAAATGTATATGCAAAACTGGTTATCGTCCTTACACACCGTTTAAACAACGACCATTTTTGTCCTTCTCGAGTAAAATAAAACTGCATATGTATGTACATATCCGGAAGAATTCCAACTGTCAAAAATTACTTCAGTATATATTAATAGTAAAATAAATAAATATGTAAATTGTGTATGTATTATAGTAATTCATTTGGCTTAAAAATCCCATGTACGTAGAATAATCGCGAAACAATGGCACATTTCAAATTATGATTTGAATTTGTAATTTAATCCATAAAAAATCAGGGCCGAGCAGTCTACCTTCAAAACTGACTGGTTCAAATGTGCATATACACATTCTCTTTGATTATTATTATTCCACACCTTTTATACGGAGAAAATATCATACAAGACGATAAATACTTTTATTGAATTAAAATTCAAGTCAAGGTGCAACAAAGAATAAATGTACCACAACGAGGACCGCCGTCTCAACAAACTTCCATGAATTTCATTTGTAATTCAATGAGAATTTTTTTAACCTTCGATTACAAATCTCTACTTTACCTCCAGTCTAAATAATCTATCGTTGCTGGTGAGGCCAAGGCCAACTTCTTGGAAAATTTTCAAGACAAACATTTTTCAGAAATTTCATTTTTCAGAAGGGAAACATTTTATGCAGCTAGATTTTTATTTTTATTTTATTAAAAGACCGGCGGGTGTTGGAGAGCATGTTTATACTTAATAAGCTGGATTAGGGGTTCGGTTTCTTGGTTGCATGTTTTGTTTGAAGCTCTCTAAATAGCAAGCAACAAACCTCCCAAATATTGAAGAACGAAAAAATATTAATCGATCGCGGTTGAGTCAAGTCCATTAATTCAAGTCCACCTGACTGAACTAAAACAGAATGGAACGGAATAAATAAGGTGAACCGCGATGCATTATGTTACATAATCTCTACACGAAAACGAGAGAACGGAATGGACAAGAAATGTATGTAATACATTAATGCACATGTGTAATATTCTAATGTAATGTAACGTAATCTTAAAAAATCATGAGTGCGGTGCATCCATACTCACTTTTTGAACGTAATATACAGGGTAAAAAGGTTAAACAAAAGTCGAAACTAAAATGGAGGCAAATAGGTTTTAACATTTTTTGAAAATCTTTGAAGATGAAAATATTTTGCATCCTTCTCATTTCCGAACTAAAGTGAAAAACGCTTTATGTATATGCTCTCCAATTTTCCATCATCCAACTTCCCAAGAAAGCATTTAAGAATCGTTTAGTTGAAGCCAACTGGATTGGATTTTTTGATCGTAACATATCATAAGAGAGGAGAACACCGTGTTTCAACTAATTACACCACGACGATGAAGAAGAACCACTACTATGCTGCTGCCTGACCAACTTCTTATCCTTGCGCAACTTTTATGTATCTCTCCCTCCTCAGTTTCATTTACTATTATTTTGTCTCTAATAACTCTACAAATTACCCGAAAGTTGAAATTGAATTTCTATTATAATTCTGATTAATTGAAAAATTGGCCAATCTCCTCAAATTATGGGAGGAAATTTGGCTTTAAATTGTGTTATTACTGCACCTTGAATTACGCACTAAGAAACTGGATGCACGGCACAATAGAATTACTACATATGCAACCTCTTTTACTACTATTATTCACTGTGGGTGTGTGTGTAGGGACATTGTCGATTTTTATTTATTTTTTAGAACTATTTCAGGAAACATTCTTAAGGTAATGAAAATAGAAGGCATTCTTTATGTCTATTTATTATGGACGAAAGATGTAAAAAAAATTGCAAGATTGCATATTTTTCCCAAAATTATGCTCATCACTACTGGTTAACATCAAGAGACTTACCCGTAAATAGCGTCCTTATCACGTTTGTGGACGTCGGGACCCATGACGTGGTTCGGGGAGGGGACGTGATTGCCTTGGTGGTGGTACATGGGGTGACTGTTCATGTGGGGGGAGGGGTGGCCTGCGAGGGGCTGGTGGAGGGATCTGTGTGCCGCCGCCCCATGCGGATCGTACATCCCAGCAACGCTCTCCATCGCGCCGTAATGCGACAGACCGTCATCGTACTGAAAAAAATTACAGCCACAAATTAATCATCAATTCAGTACGAAATATTTTCCAAAAATTCACTCCGAAAAAAAATGGTTTACTTTCATCATTGATTTTTCTAATGATTTGTCCTGATCCGATGCCAACAACCAACTTGTACTCTTATCATTATTACTGTCAGATTCATTGTTATCATCGCATTCATGTCGCTGTTGTGTAGCAGATATATAAATGAAACACATTTAACCCAATAATAAATTAAATTGAACAACTAATTACTCTTGTTGCACATTATCACTTTTATTGTCATTGTAAAACTGACATTTTTATACCCGGATTATTTGTACCGCAAAGTTTTATTTGTTTTATATCCGACAAGTAAGTACTAGTGTGAGTAAGTAAACTAGTTTTATTTACGACGTTTTATCCTCGAGTCACAAAATCTCAAAGTGTCCAAGTGTGTTTTTGTATTGTTCAATTAAACCGTATGAAATTAGGACGACCACCCCGCAGCAATAATAAGTTCTTTAAAACGTATCCGCTCGTGGAACGTTACTCTTGATTGCATTTTCCAAAATTCATTACTTAATAAATACAGTTCCCATTTTCACTCTGCAAATACTTGTAGTCGCCACAAATTGGAATCTATAATAGCCACAAACATGGTTTTCTCTTGGTGAAACAACAAATTAAACAAACCGATTGTCACTCATTTCGAATTCTCCTATGGATATGCACAGTATGTATTTGTACGTATTGTACGCGTTGCTATTTGGAGTGGTCAGTTCATTATGGGGACTTGCACGGCTACACTTTTGCCACCATGACCAATTCCCAATTTTAATTTGCCCTGTCCCAAACTCCGTTAATAATGGAAGGCTTTTATTGGAGCAGAGTGGACACTATTTCACAATTAGTGTGTGTGCGAGTGTGTGTGATCATCGCTGTGTGTGATGCGATGCAGTGGGGCTCTGCTGATTCACAGATGAGTATTTTATATGATTGCTTTGCACCACGGCCTCGCAGCTTAATAATTCTCAGAGTAAAAGAAGAGTATGTATGTGTTGTAATGGAAGTAGATTTTAGTGTGAATGTAGTAGCGTTGGATTCGGTATTGGAAGCAAGTAAGGTATAAAACTGGAGTAATTAGCAGTTTAAGTTTTAGTTGGTTCTTCTTGGCTGCTAGTTGGTTGGTTGGTTGGTGGAGGTGAATAATGGATGCGGTTTTAGGAGGACGGAGGTATTATGCAGCTGGACACCACGGACGGTAAGAACAGTTCACACTGGTAATAATATAAACCAAGCTAAAAAGTGAACATGTCCAGTCCACCCTACGAATGCAAATCCACTGAGAGAGAGAACCTGCTCCTTCCTTGGTTTCCTTTATTCGTCGTTCATGCTTCTCTCGATTCTATTCTCTTTTAATTATTGATCCGGTTTTGCGTTGCCTTCTCCCACAGAGACCACAAACAACTAACTACGTACCGTCGTCCTGAGTGAGGGTAGTCGAGAGTCGTTTCTTTATTTTTCCATTTTTCCGGAGGTTTCCTTTTCGTTTCTCTGCATGTACATACTTGTTCTCTTACCCAAGTCAGCAATAATGAAATTGAGGTGAGGTAATTAGCAAATGTATGCATGTACACATGTCGTAATATCTCGGGCGAAGCTATGTAGTTAAATAATTTCCAAATTATAGAGATGGTTATTTATTCAACTCGGCGCTTTTCATGTTTCCGAAAAAAACCACAGTCGCAGAGTGGTTTGACTTTTGCGGTGATTTGTATCCTTAATTAACTCCCATGAGAGCAGGGATCACTATGCTTATTCCGTCGCCGCTGCTACCCCGATCCGATTTCGGATTATTATTTACTCTGAAATTTTAACTGTGGTTTCCACTGTCCTAAATCAACGACATGAACAACTGCTACTGCTCCAGTTGCGGCTTGCACAACTGGCGTTCATTTTCTTGTAACACACACACAACTGTAAAGTTTCCGACGCTCCATTTTGGTGGTAATAAGTGAAGGTAAAGTAAAATCCGAACTAATGAATATCAACCCACCAACCACAAAAGGGGGAGGAGAGGTGGTGGTGGGATGCAGTGCAGCTGATGCTCTTTCTCTCACTTTCTCCCATCCACCATCTCGATATCAGTATCCGAGAGGCTCTGAATTATTCAGCCTTCTAAACCAACAATCCACCAATAAGTGTCGTATGACGACGACAACGCGATATCGATGAGCCGGCTTTGCACCAAGTTTCTCAGCCAAGGGGAAACTACTTAATAATTAATTAGTACTATTATGAATAGTTAAACAAGGTTTTTGATTTTGTATTCTTATTCTGAAAGAAAAAAAGCAACACAAGCCAAGTGCTCAGTTCTGGGGGTGTGAAGTTACTGAGCAGTAGAATAAAATTTCTTTACATTTTACTTTGCACCATATTTAAGGAGTGCATCATCATCGCATTTATTTTATGCTATTATAACCGAGTTCCTCCGTAACCTCTGATTATCCTCATTACACTGTATCAAATTAAAACAAAAACGTCCCTTTTTCTCCTCAATCCTACCACACTGCTACTCCCGGTGGCACGCAATCCAGGTTAAAATTGCACCTCTCGACTACGGATTGTATCAAAAAGACTTGTAGTTTAACATGGCATTTCTCTCATAATTCCTAATTGTACTCTGCGATGAATTCCAGATTACGAACCAAGTCGGTCGGCACAACAAGTCAAATTTCCATCTATCTATCTATCCATCCATCCACCATTTACATCCCATTTCACGAACGAGTACTTTCTATACCACCCCAAGAAGTAGAAGTGGAAGTATCATCCGAACGTGCGCATAAGACAGATAAGATGCTCTGGAGTAATCGTGGCGTGGTGGTGGTGATGTGTAAGGTAATAAAGGGTGGAAGAAGGTAATGGGTCATCAGGAACGGGCCAAATGGGTCATTCTGTCCTCCACAATTGCTCCCATTCCATTGCCCCTCGTACTATACGCACTATTACACTCAAAACACAATGAGAAACAAGAATGCAAATTATTATTAGCCATCGCGAGTACGACTACATACACTCGCAGTTGTTTAAACTGATTTCATTCCTTTGCCACTTTTTAATTCAATTTATGAAAAAATGAATGAATTTAAGAGCAAGACGAAAACCCGTTCCTCGGAGCCAGAGAGCGAGAGAGAGCTTAAAAGATTATATTGGGAAGATGGGATGGGTGGGTGGATAAAACGGGCAAAAGTGAGAGAGAGAGTGTTTCATGTTCGTCGTGGGGATTATTAGTTTCCTTCCTTTCAGTCAGACCAGCCAGACTAGTGATAGAGAGGATATGGAATGAAATAGATGATATTGTGGGATTTTGACCCTGACCTTCCTGTTTGCTCAAGGAATGAATCGGAACGAGAAGCCCAACAACATACTAACAGTCGGCGAAATGGCTATTAGCAGCATTAGTACAAGTTGGTTCTCAAGAAGGAGAGCGAGGGGATGTATGTATTATTATTACGTGTACGGAGGGGGGTGAATTGAAATATTCTTCTCGTCGTCGTCGTCTATCCAGAACTAAACCCCCAGAGATGTGACGGGATTCTGTTTCCTTCTCTGAACACAAATCCACAAAATAGACAGAATTTCAAAGAGTCAAAAGTAAGAGTAAATCCATCCAACCAAGCATTAGAATTCAGTAGATCAACTTAAACTCCCGTTCTTCAGTCAATCGCCCTTGTCTCCCACGAAAGACTTACTTACACTATCTACAAATTGATTCTTGCACTCAACTGTCATAACCAAACAGTCATACAGACATGAAAATATTGCTTCTTTATGCGTTTGTATGTACGTCGGAGTCGCCCATACATGTGAAGAAATCTATATGATAATCCCCTCCATCCAAGAGATAGAGAGAGGGTTGCAATATGTATAGCATGCATTACAGGCAAACTATGAAAATCTCTTTTACACAAACTTTTGAACTTTTCAAAATCTTTTCTCAAAACAAAACCACATCTCTCTGAATGCATTACATCGTATTCTACATTCAAAATTATTATGGAACATTATCTTCTCTTGGATGGATGGGTGATGGGATTAAAACCGCTCCGGTTCATCTTGCTCACAAAACACCCACCCTTCTTTATTAGATATATTCTGTTCTATATATATTTACCACTTCCTTCCTTTTCCTAATTTAATCCCCAGCCGACTATCTCGTATTCTCTTGTCTCACCATTATTACAACAATTATTACACAAGTTTAATCATAAAGCTGGAGGGTCGAGGGACAACTTAGAGGAGAGTGTGATGTGATGGACCACCATTAAATTACGACATAAAATAATACCTTTGAGACTAATAAGAGACATGATGATGAAGACGTCAATCTTGATGGAGTAATTTGTAATTTCTCTCAAAACACTCGACTCCTGCACTCCAAATAACTCTCGGGTAGTAGTGCTTTGTTTACCCGACTACTACTCATCAAGTACACTTTTACCAAGTTGCCTCTCTCTCACAAACATATAAATACATACGATCAAATAGTCAATCACTTTATTGTGCTGAGCTTATTGCCACTTATTTCTCTTTTTTTCTGATTTTCTCTCTCTCTCCCACCCACCCCAAAAATAACTCACTCAATTGATATACATTGCCTGGTTGTTCTGGTTGATCGTTCGTGTGAATAATTAATTCCGTTGACAAACAAACTACACACTCAAGTATTCTCTCTCTCTCTCGTCCCACACTTGGTAAAACAAACAATAGAATAACAATTTTCTCCACTTAGCAAAAACTCCTTATTGCACGCACAATAGATAGAGTAAGATAATTGTCACTATAATTTCACAATTTCGTGAAAATTTTGACCCAAACAAGAAATAACTATTTATTATTGGTAACATAAATCCTCGCAAACTATCAAAAACAACAAGTCGAGATGGATCCTGCATGGGATGAAATGGTAGTAACACATATTTTGTAATGTTATTCATGAGAACACATAGTTAGGATGAAGGAAGGGACCCTTCTTGCTGCTTAAGGTCCTTGCAACCCGAGGGTGTAGAATTTCATTACATTACATTTGGGAGAGTGAAGGGTCCACAATAAATCATCTGCCTCCTTCCTACGAGACGGAGAGGACGGATCCGTTTAAAGTGTAAAACTCATTACATTGCTCTTTCGAATGTGTATGTACTGGTTTGGCCATGGTCTCTCCGGTGGGACTGCTGCTTGGGCAACAAGCACTAATCCGTCAACTTCAGAATAAACGAAAAAAGCGCAACTGTTTGACGGATGTCCCTTGGATGCTTGATTTTTGGATGGAGACTTGGAGTCCACCAGGGGGGCACGTCTAGTCAATCCACCGTGGAGAGATGGAGTCAGTCCGTCATCATAAGGCGACAACAAGCCTAAACCAACTAGTCAAAAATCAGTCGACTGACTCAAATAAATGCCACCGCATAAATATGCTTGTTACTGGTCATCGACTAAAAAATATTAAGCTTGGGTCAACTAACTTCACTTTTGTCTAAATTAACTATTATACTAGTACCGTTAATCTTAATTATAATATTATTATTGCATTGTAGTAAAAGGTTTATGGGATAATCTATGCATGGTTGGACAAAAAAGAACGCATTAAACTTAACCAGGTTATGTTAAAAAGTGCAGTATTGTTGTTCTGTTAAGGATCCAGTTAGTTGAATAATGCGTTGTCTGATGCCTGCTTCCTTCCTACATATGTACATATGCACGTATATGTACATATGTATGTAGGGGTCTATTTAAAGAGAAGAAAAACGATCCAATTGCTATTTGCCGACACAGACAGAAAAGTTGACTGCTTAATTAAGTGTCGAGTAGTCGGGACAGGCAGTAACAGACCTCAGGTAACCATCACATTGTGAGGAGTAGACGTCGACAAAGACAAGACAATGATTGTCAATGACGGACAGACAGTTTTGGGCTAATTATAAATTTTCCCTTGTAAGCAAAGTTTGCAATATTTGTAATTTGAAACATTACACGAATAATATATAAATGAAGGAATAAAGTAAACTTTTTCATGTAAAATAAATACTGCACCATCATCATCATCATTAAACAAACCAAACTCACCCGTTGAGATAGGCATACACACGAATAGATGGACAATTAAACGTTTACGATTACAAGTATTTTACAATTTACAATTTGTCCCAATCCACCCTCAACAGCTTGTAGCCTTAATATAATATTATTATTATTGTAACGGGGTAATAAATCCTGGCTTCGATTCTGGTTAGTTCATTCCTATCAGGAAATGAATCAATGGGAGGATCTTTTCCATAAAGCCATAAATTAGACAAGCGTCGACGGTTGTGAGCGTGATGACCTTGAGGATTTATGGGGCTATTTGAAATGCCGGTTGTTTTATAGTTGACAACTTCAACAACGCTCCTCTTTCTCGCTCTCCACAGCAAATCTCCATGCTGCGTATTAAGGTATCATCTCTCTGGCGTTGTTTGCGTTCTGGAGACCCTTTCGTGTAGTGAAGCCTTATTACAGGCCATCCCCACCACCACCTTGGACGAACAAGTGTACCCTGTCATCCAAGTACTTTACAAACCGTAATTTATTTATTATTTGCACTTGGTTGCTTGCTGGTAAGTAATACAACAACCTTAATTATTGTAATAAATTGTGATTACTATACATTTGTCTCAGTTGAATCAATACCACTCGGTAAAGTACGGTAACAGTTAGTTTTCAAGTCAGTATAAAATACTCGTAAAGTAAAATTTAATATTTATTTACTCACCCTTTGTTGTGCCATCTTTGGTTTTATTTTTGAAGAGAAACTTTTTTTGTTAAATTTCACAAGAAACTATATTATTAAACCCGATATTTTGGGTTAAATTCACAATTAATAAATCACCATGTAATATGCCACATTGAGAACTCACTCTATATTTATATTCCAATTTCACACCTAAAGTTTTAAAATATCGATGAAGATAAATAATTTGTTTCGGGATCCATATCCATCATCGTCAATAAAAATGATTTATTGTCAAAGTAGGTAAACATACATGTACATGAATGCACTGACAGGTATTGAATTTATGACGGAGTTTTATTCATTTATTTATTTATCCTTTTTATAAAATTGACAAAATTAGTGCAGCAGATCCGTATTTATTTAGCTGGTCTGTTAAAATAATGCGTGCACACTTGTTCCCGTTTACAAGACAGAGATTTATGGCGTTTTATATATCCATTTATTTATGACTCGGATGATAATACGCCAAAACGGTATATTCCTTGGAAATTTCAGGAAAGGACCTCCAACAAAGGACCACTCTCTCTCTCTCTGAAGGGTCACACTATAAAACCGGCCAAGAATTTGTAAAGTTTCTCGTAGCAGCAGATACAATAAAGTAATAATATAAGTAAGGTCAGTTCCGTGTAATACAATGTGTAATACGAGGAGGGATGAGCCAAGAGGCAAGATGAGACTGCTTAACAGTTTGCCCACGCACGTGTGAGTAAGTTATCTTCTTCTCCCCTTGATTTATTGAGAACGCTTCTTCTTCGCTGGGCAATGAGACTAGCCGGCTTGGTTTTCGCGAACCAATTAATTAATCCTCACACCAATGTCCAGTTTATTAATCACTTTTTATTTTTCTAACGTAAAGGAACTTTTTTATGTAAATATTTCAGGACCAAAAATATATTTGTTAAAAATCAGTGTTGTTACAACAAACTCTTTTTTGTTTTCGAGATCAATAGTGCGTTGTCTATTCTCCTCGTCGTCGTCGATGTCACATGCCACGCCGCGTAGGTAGTATGACTTGGGTGTCAGGGAGACAAAGGCCTCCGGAAGAAGAGGACGAAGGGTGCCGTGGCCGTGGTGGTGGTTTGGTGGGTAAAATAATTATTGCACGAAACCCGGTCTGGGTGAACTTGACGGAGAGGAGACAGGAGAGTTTGAAGCGATTTGACGTTTGAATGATCTGACTGCAGAAGAGTGACTGAGCACTGAAAGGCGAGAGAACAAATGGGAGTAGTGGATTGGATGTGGGCCTGCCGCTGCTGGGAAGGGGCCCGCCCGCCAGGAATCGCCGGCTCCTCCTCCTCTCTCCAACATTCATCATCAACCTCTTCTGCAGCGTCAAAGTCTTCTCAGGAAAAACAGACACCGCGTCCAACGCTGTAATAAACGCTCGCGCTCTGCCACGGATGGACGTCGTAGGCTGCGGCATCAGAGAGTTCATCACCCATCCTCTGCTCGCCGGTCTTCCCCCTTTCTTCCTCTCGTCTTCGCCACTTTCTCCGATAAATGATGGGAAATAAGTCGGATTCTAAGACCCAAACGGTGCGGGCATTATATTTTTGCACGGGACGGAAAAAGTTTTTCCGAAAAGGTTGAAGTATTCACGTTCCGGGCCAGGCTATCCAGAGTTATGCTTGATTTTCGGCGATTTTGGTCAGATTTTAGGCCGTAACTTATTAGATTGTTGGAAAAATCGAAGGATATTGAATGTGCTTTTATGAATGATCTCTTATTTAGTATGTTATGACTGAACTTCACTGTTTACAGTAATCGGATTCCTTTAATTGATCTTCTAATTGTAACGCTATGGGCTCGGAATAGCGTTAATAAGCGAATCATACAGAGAGGCACATATTTAGTTATGCATATTATTATACGTAGTTATGCATGTGCATAGTCAAAAGATGCCCGGTTGGCTTTACTAATTGCATTAACCCGTTTTCTCTCTCCTCTCTTCTTCTAATTATGTGGGAGCTAGCCGGGTTAATAAATAATCCTCATGTTAAGTTTTTGAGACTGTTGGTTTGGGTCAGTTTCCTGCCTGCTTTCCTTACTTGCTGCTAAGTAAGTGAATGCGTTTTGTGCGTTGCATCGCTTCAGGGAATGTGTACAGAACGCGTATGTACTTTGGAGAAAGAAGGAATGTGCCGTGTCTACGGATTTATTTTTCTTTCTGACAAGTTGAAAGACACCCACATTTGTCAAATCAAATGAGCTGAGCCGTTTTTCTCCCCTGATAATCTCGAGGTACACATATGAAAGAGGAAAGTTGTAGTAATCCTCTCTTCTTCTGCTGCATTTCACTCCTGCAAGTGAAATGCAATACTTTCAGCAAAGTAACTGAGCCATCAGGACTGGGGATGGATGGATGGAACGGGAGCAGAACGCAGCCATATCTCATTTAAGCTCCGTAATGAAATGTGATGGTTGGTAGAACAGATGAAGCAAAACTAAATTTGAACCTCTGTAAGTAGTTATGTGTGCATCTCCACACCGATCGAGCTATCCCGGAATATTGATCACGGCTGAATAGTCCACATTCATAACAACTCGGCATCTCAAGTAAGCATGATACATATAGCCAAGGATGTATGTATTTATAGTGTTAGATGTACGAGGTGAGATGAGATGAGGGAAAACAAAAGCAATGATTTGGCAATTTATTTTTTTTGAGTGCTCAGCTTTTCCGGTGCGGAGCGGAATACGTGGAACCTGTCCCTGTCTATTATCTTCACGGAAACTTGTTCACTTCACGCTGTTAAAAACGACAAGGCGGCTCCGATCTGCTTTTTGACTGGCTGACATGACACAGTTATTGGAGTGGTGATGATGCCATGATGTTAGCTGGTGTCGACACCCCGGTGTCGGCTCAAAAAAAGCTTCAACCCCAGCAGCACATTCCCTCCCCGCCGATGTTGATGGACATGATGCATTTGACATTTGAGTTGATCGTTCATGATATTGAATGGGGTTCAACAGCATAAAATGCTGCTGCTTGGTCCATGGAGAACAAGAGAGAAATGTATGCATGTATATTACTTATATAGGCTGTGATGTTGACGGGGTTTTGTTTGTTGACTGGCTCCAGTGAGAGAATGACAAATTGAGAGAAATTCTTCCCTTCAGAACAAGTATGCATAGCGCTTGTCTCCCTGTTTGACGTGTAGACTTGACCTACACTCGATCCTTTATAATCCAAATTCATGTACAATACTATTTCCTACATACACCTCATTAGCATTGAACTTTTAGTCTTGGACGTCCCACACACAACTTTGAATGAACAAAGTGACGCACAGACATATTTTGTACAAGTATATTATGTACGTTGGCTTGGTGCCTAAGCATTACATACGTGTGCGCTTTCACCCGCCGACAGTTTGCAGAAATCGTGACATGCGAGTGGTTCCTCGAGTCGGACACTCTCCGCCAATGCTTTTCCCAGGAAGGTGGGCGGATTAGATGGATTGGTTCCTTTGCTTAGTGGTGTGTGTGTGTTGGGAGAGATGTGCAGAATATCCGGGCATCCGCGGGTCGATAGAAGGATGCGCCACTCACGCCTGTGCCCCGTCTCATCTGTCTCCGTCGTCGTCCTCCTCGTCGCCAACTGTACAACTTTCTCCTTACTTTCCCATCCCGTCTCATGCTCTCTCTCTCAAAGGACGCTTTCTCCATCCATCCAGGACTTTGCTACTAACTTATTAATGAAGCACTTGTTTTTTTCCTTCTTCTTCCTCGCAATCTTCCGTCCCGATTCCAAGAGATATTACATTTTTACATGAACAAGGAGTCAGGTGTGTGCCTGTGTTTGTGTGTAGGCTTGATTCTCTTGGTTTTTCTTGCCATGAATAAAAGTCAAGAGGTTTAGATTCCAATCGACACCTCATTAATTCCAACTGACACTTTGATGCAACAGTGGCGAGGAGTTTATGGCAATCCGCCCTCCCCAAGTGCACATAAAACGTTCCCCTCGGATACCCAAATGGGATAACCTCCGCTACTACGGATGCTACTCTTTCACTCTCATTTCTTTCCCTTTCCCTCATTCTGACAAAGGGGTGGGCAAACTGGAAGCAGAGACACAAGCAAGAACCAACCTTCAGCTCAATGGGGAATATCTCGGAAATGTTTCAAAAAGACATTTTATTCAATCCGTGTCAAAAACAGTGGGAGAATATTTCACGGGGCTGAAACGTTCAAAATAATAACTTTGAATTGTTTGTAAATTATTATGGCGTTCGCAATAGTTCGCATTGCTTGTGTACCTTACCTACTATAAAATGCATCCTGTCTTGATTTATGTAACTTTCATTAGCTATATTTGAGGGCAGTCTTGCTTACGTAAACGAGCGAGAAAGTGTATGCAGTAAATATGCATGCCTTGTAGTTTTCATTCCATTCGCACGGAATTTGTTGATACGAAAATAACAAATAGGTGACATTTATCCTTTAATAATGGGGCTTAATAGGGAATAGAATTATATCATGATCTCTTCATTCATTCACACACACAACAAAATGTGCAATATCGGATATGTATGTACACACAGCAGCGTGCAGTGCGATGTGTGTGGAAGAAGTGCAGCAGACTGTTTCCTACTACACATACACAGATTTATGTCTCATTTGGCACTTTTATTAAGCGTTTTATTAAGCAATTTATTAACGTGCGCACATTTCTTTATAAAGTGGGTAGAGAAATAGCTGCCCCTCCAGGATTCTAGATTTTATTTTGGGGTAGGTCAACTATTTTATTTTTACTGCTTCATTGGAGTTGGCAGCAGCAGAAGCGTGCGTATACAGTGCATATTAGTATTTATGTAGAATGACTACATGGTATCTCCACGGTATATGGCTGGAAGGATGTAGCAGGTAGTTTACAACCCCATTACTTGGCAGTTACATTAAGGGGTTGTAAAAGTTAGGCAGGATAACAGAGGGTAGTAAAAGTATTAGCATTAGCAAAGAAAGAAGAAGGAAATCTGAGAAAATCACTTCCGTTCTTTCTCTTTCCGTATTCTTTCTTGGCACCAGCGACACGACGACGATTATCAGTTTCGCACTGTTTATTCAAATCGACAAAAATTTATGTACAATGTTTTTCCCAATTAAAAATCTTGATAATCCGAATGTAAATAAAAATGCCAACTAGTGTCCCAACACGACTTTTTTTGTCGCACTGACTGCTGAAAAAATGCATTCTTGGTAAATGTTTAATTAATATTATATGCCATGATTTTTGCATTAAGACAACAAGTACACACATTGTTGGACAAACAAAGGTGATAGTATGGAATTTCAGTCATACTGGATGGATGGACGGACGGATGGATGGATGGAATGCTCATGCATCTCATCAATTGAGCATCTCGTAGTTAGTCGCAGGTGGATAAATAAAATGACATGATGTGACTTTTTGGCTGTTGAGTCACTGGGTTCAATCTTGGCCCCATGGTTTAAACAGGTTTGAGTAGGCAATAACAATAGCCATGATAATAAACATAATGAGTTCCTCCAACCAACCGGCCAGCCATCACCCTCCATCCCACTGGACATTAAGCAAACCAAACTCGAGATGACTCAAATTTCTCTGCAAGAAAGATTTTACAAGATTTTACGTTTTAAACCTTTTGTATTCGCTGACAAAATGAATGCATTTTGACATTTGGTAAGGAAAATCAACTGTAGTAAGGACACCCATTTGCTTGTATTTGTAAAATCGTGATTGGTCTGCTGAGCAATAAAAAATGGGACCATGTATTTTGCTAAAAAAATTCTGAGCAATATTGCATTAAATTGTACAAATCTTCTGCATCACAATTTGACAACAAAATTGAATGGCAAATCGCAGTTTGGTTTTTCCGGCAGATTGGCAGTCCACTGTCAGGATTACACGAGTACATGACATATAAAATGTCGTTGTTGTCGCATAAGCCGTTGGATGACTAAAGTATGTATGCATGTATTAGGTATATAAGCTTGTAGTAATTAAGCCAACTGATGAAACAGTGGTGGTGGTGGTGATTGTAATAACAATAACTGTTAAATTTTATGGGTTAAATTATTTATTCAATTACACTAGAAACCTAACAAACGTTTGTTAAATCGCAGAATGAAAGGATGACATGGTGTTTGCATATATTATGCAATATTGGTCAGCGAATAGTTATGCAGGGCACATAGTACACTCACAATATAGTTTAGAGTTGTAAAATTAATTAGTGTCATCCTGAATTACTGTGTCATTTTGCATGAAGTATCCCTTTATTCCCGACTCTGTCTCCATTATTTCATTTTATTGGTAAACCGGCTGACTCTAGTTTGTCTTCTTTTATTCACTTTTTTAAAACAACAAGTGTAGAACATGATGGCAGAAGTGACTGCATGTTTAGACAGGTATTTCTCATTCCTCATTAATGACAACTTGGTCCTGGCATTTATGGTTACGATTATTGGTCCCCTAATTTATCCGGAATTAGTCCAGTGTCAGGGAGGATTTATGCTTCTCACCTGCCAGATAAGACAAGGCAACAATAACTGAAACTGCATTACACAGCCTTTTACACAGAGAGGAACAGACTTTTATTCTCATAATCAGCCACATAATACTATTTCTTTTTTATCTTATCGTCTCACCCACAACCACTTTTCTATCTTGTTCTCAAATAAATGCAGACAACACAGACTTATGTATTTGTTTATTCTACTTGTACGTTTCGCAACGCAGACAGACGACAACGTGTCACTGGCCAAATATTTGCATTTCTGTACACCAAGAATTAACTTGGTAAAAACAAATACTTACTAATACGGTACATCCTCCTGGGTAAGTCTTTACAGGACAAATTGCGTAAATATGCATGTATGTGTTAGGAAAACTTATTTATTTTTGCACAATTTAGAGAGCAATTTGGAAACATAAAATTTGGGTAGGAAATAAAGACCAAGTCAAAAGACCCATTTATATATTTATGTGTGCAAGTAAAGACGAGATAAATTGCCGGCCTTGAACCTTGCCCTTGTAAAATTGCGTTTTGAGAAGGAATGAGCAATAAAAGTTATCGTGGTTGAGGGTATTGCACCACCATCACTACCCGACCGACCAGGATGCCGAGAGAAAGGACCTCAGCCAGAAAGAGAAAGAAATAAAGGGTGGTGCTAAATGGAGTGGAGTTAACTAATGAGTGCAATAATCTCGTAACGACAGTTTTGTGCATGTACAGACAGAGATGTGTATGCATGTGCAAACAATGTGCACTCCTTGTATGGAAATGGACGAATTTTACATATTTAAGTAGATGTGAATGCACAATTCTGTCCAATTGTAGAATTTTGAATTTATAAAAAGTGAAAAAAATACACAGTATAAAGAAACAAGAAATACCATTACCAAGTTTGTGACGACCGGGTAATGGGGTTCGTAGTAAAAGAATAAATTAGCAATTTGGGGAGTGACTCAAGACGACAATTGTCCTATTCTTATAAAGTTTCGCTTTACAGCAAAAAAAGAAACATTCAACCCGAGTCAAACAAGTCAACCCGGCTTACACATATTTTATACAAGGACTGGGCTGGCTTTTCTTTCTGTGGTTAAATATGTGATGGAGGAGGTTGCTTTCTCGTGATAGCGATACATACAAGAGAAAGGAAAGACAGACAAGAAGTATTTTATTTACGGGAAAAGTTGGGGAACATAGAATTGCAGAGAAAGCATTTTTTTTAGGAAATAGTCATTTTTTTCATCTGGTTTCGGTCTCTTACCAAAAAAACGAAGAAGGAATCCAAAATTCATGAAAAAGTCCATATTGTGCATTTCACAACATTTCCGGTGAAATCCGTAAAAAGGAGACGACGACATAAAGCAAGAAATAGTGTTTGACTAGACTTGACACGATTTCCCGTAAATATTGAGCAGGAGGAGAGAAGAGTTGGAGAGGGTTGCGTGAGACGGTGACTGGAGCGTAGGAGCCATCTGTCCATCAACTGTGAGACGTGGAAAGATGAGAAAATTCTCATCTCATAAAGTCTCAAACCCTTCGTCTCACTTTTTGCTTTGCGTGTTTTACAGACAACTAAATTGAAATTTTGATAACAATTTTAATCATTCACCTTATTTCTTCTCCCGTTAATTTAGCAAGACAAAAACTAAATAAACGGAACAGTATAAATAATACAAGTAGAATCACAATTCATCAAGCTTACGGTTTCGTTGTTTGACCAATATTGCTTAAAATCAATAAAGTAAGAGTATGAGTTGTATTACTGATATTATCCTGCCAATATTAAAACACCACTTTAAAAGGTGGATACAATTCAGCCAACTTTATGTCATTCATATTCTCATTTTACCACTGGAAATGTTGCCCCTCACTTACTACACACTCGTGTAACTCGCACGGTTCTTGTAATACTTCATAACAATATTCTTGCATGCTTTTTAAGCAGGTACTACTTCTACTACCATAATGTTACCTTGTTTGGTTATTGTGGTTGAAGTAGGATTGACGCCCATTTGGTCGGAGACCTGCCCCTTCCTCCCTCCATCCAGGTGAGCTTGGTGAAATCCACACACACACGAAATCTATATAAAGTAAAAGCTGTCCATCAATCCCCTCCTGAAAGTTGGATCCTTAGAAATTCACCATTACAACTTCCCATCCACCGACATGAACCCCATTAAATATATTCCTCCACACTATCATCAAATTATCCGAAATTCCAAACATGCTCACTTCAAATTCAAACTACCAACCAACAACGGCAAAAGGAGCTGATAATGACTATAATAATGCTCACAAATAATTTGGCTCTTTTAAGCTAAAATTATACGGTAGGAAATTGCTTCCTTCTTTCTCTCCTTCGGCTTCACTCCATCCTACATTTTATTGGATTAAAGGGCACGTGCGAATTTTGTATAAGGCTGGGATTTTCTGAGAAATCTTGTAAACTTCATGGAATCCGAGTCGTATAGATTTCTTGACGTAATGATGAACTGAAGTTCCTGTTTTTTTTCAGGAACCTCAGTTTCAAGTTAGAGAAAGAAATCCCTCTTATTTATTTCTCTTGCTCCCGATCAGGAGGTTGTGTGGCTAAAAGTCTAACATGATGTGATGTACCCGTCAATCAATAAGGCTCATCTCTCGATTGAGACGTTGGCTTCGCACGATCTTTCCTCTGGTCCTGATTGACACGAGAATAATGGAGGGGAAAGAATGGATCTGTGCATCCGTGTACCAGAAAAAGTGATCGGGATAAGAAGATTGACATCTTCTTATCTTACAGTTTATTGAAAGAAATAAGAAACCTACCTCTCGCTCTCTCTCTCTCTGCAGCAGGAAACAATAAAAGAGCAAAAAAGTGTGAAGAATTATGTCATGCGGTGAACTCGAAAAGACTGCTGGGCTACTATTATTTTATTATAATAACAACTCAATCAATCAGCTATTCAAGTGTGTGACAATTTGTGGCTTATGTGTTATTGCTTATTATGTATGTATTTTCTCCCCTCATTCTTTCTCACACATGTGCAACTCTGCATATTTGTGGAAACCTTTTGATCCGAATTTTAAATTTTTTCTATTCTCTTAAAAGTTGGCAAAAATGTTATTTCATTTTCCATCTTTGTCTTGTTTTTGTCAAGGGGAATTTAGCAGAAAGTGGTCTTATGTATTATGGAAGAAGCAGTTGGTTGGTTGGTTCAAAGTAGTCAGAAGAGGAGAAAGAGGAATTCAAAGAGTTGAGTTAGTGTGAGACTTATCCACTTACTTAGTTCACCTGTCACATTCATCATTCTGAGAGAGACAGGACGGAGAGAGGATGATAGTTTGTTTGGTAGCTGTACATCTAGAAAAGAGAGAAACCAAAAAGAAAAAGTGTAAAAATGTACCTGCTTGAATTTATTTCTTGTCTTTTTAACCATTACTGCTCCTTGTTGTAAAACTTGAATAAAGTCCAGATTCTGTCCAATGTCACTTTAATAATATGCGAATGGGAAGTAGTAATTTCATGTTATGCAACGAGCCAACCTCGCCACAAAGAATTCCAAGTAAACCTACATACACATTCAAGATTAACTTTACAATCGCATTACCCATCCATTTCGTTCCATTCCATTTTATACAATTCCTAACTTGGGCTTAAAATTTGGGCAGCAAAGTGGTCTATGTGTGCACATACAGTTTGAGACTTGTTGGTGTTTAGGTTCGTTTCGTATGACAATATTAAGTCGATGTTAGTTTTAGTCCTGCTACGCACATAGATTTGAAATACAAGTCTTAAATGGAAATCCACAATTCATATTTTTTCAAATTTTATTCCTGATATCAAGCACCGTGAGTGCAATCTAATGGATGGATGAGGACGAAGTAAGGATGCATGAGGAACGGTCCGCATCGTATAAACTTATGTAACGTTAGAATCCGCTTAGTGAAATAAAATGTCCACTTGCTCCTACACCATAATGGCATCTACTTAACTTTTCGTCACGGTTTAGCTTTTGCTGCGGCAGGATTTTCCCCTTTTTTGACATGACATAATTTATTGGCAGGTGGTTGGCTGTTGTGAACTTTTATCCTTCATAATCATAATAATAATTCCCCATCTTCAACTCATACCTCTCAGAGTCTGCAGGTATCTCTTGCTTTGTAAAAGTACATAATACATACACAACAATCGAAATATGTATGTAGGAATGGGCATTGGAAAAATAATCCACATTTCCAAATCCTCATTAGTTAATAACGACTTCATTTAATTTTGAAAAGTTATGCAAACCAATTTAACCCTTGGAATTTCACTTCATCAAGTCAAAAAAGTCTTGGGAAAAAGATGCTTTCCTATTGTGTAACCTAACCCAATCTATCTTGCCCAAGTTCAATCGCATTTAAATATTTCCAGCGAGTACACACACACACGAGGAGAAGAAAGAAGACTGACGCACAGTACGCTGGGATGTAAAATAGAATAGAAGAATCGGAGGAAAAAAACGAAATTTTTTCCTGAATGGAGAGTTAACGAAGGCCGAAGATTTATGTGACAGTTGAGCAAGTCCATTTGCATCCGAGTGGATGCCGACTCGTACTCTGGCCAGGCGAAGGGTCACTGCTTACTTTTTCTCGATGCGGCAGAGTCCTTCGTTACCTTTTTTCATTGGAAACAAGATCCCATCATATCTGAAAAGGTTATTACAACCTGATTATATCATCCCAGAGCAGATGCAAAATCAAAATTTTTAAAAATTATTTGTCTGCGTAGTAATATATGTGGTAGGTAAAGAAAGGTATTTTTCGGTTTTGGGATGAAATTCAGATTAAAGACATCAAAATGACAATGCTACAGCAAGTATTAAACTAGTCGGACTGAAATTGTAATAATCGTAATTGACCAAACATCGCATATGTAAGTACAAATGGATTATTGGACAGATCGGAAATGATATTTAGAAGAACACAATTAACACTACATGCACCTGGCCACTCTCAGTCTGCCACGTTTAATGAAACCAGACCAGATCAATATATGTATTGCATACCCTATATTTTATTTTGGAAGATTGACACCTTCTTCCTTTCTCTCTCTCTCGATCGGTAAAATTAAAAGTGCAGAGTCACCTCCTCCTCCTCTTCCAAATGAAATAAGTGAGCAATTTCCCTCACAAAGAAAGCACAAAGTGGAAACAATGGTTCGGATGAATCGTGCAGGGAAGGAATGGGCATTTCAAAGTTTAAAATGTGTAACAATTGTACATCTCTTTTTTTCAAGAACATCAATTTCATACATGATTTTGTTGGTAGCATGTCCTGCTGCAGTCTATCCATCGGTGACATAAATTTGCCCAAGGTGTGAATAACATCATCACATAAACTTTACGAAAACGTCTTAATGTCTGTGTTGCTCTTGTCGAAGTTGAGTTGTGAGACGGCGACCTGCTGCTGCGACCCTCACCAGGAACGCTGCCATATTTGTTTATGCCTCACTTATTTATGACTGAGCAGCGTGTCATGCAAATTCTCCACATTTAGTAATAACAAAGCCCTCACCTCTCCACCGTATCGTATCATGCAGCTATTATTATCAGACTCTGATTTTCCAAACTAACCCACAGGATAAAAACCAAGACCTATGAAGAGATTTTATTTTACACCATTGCATTCCAAAGTCAAACCAACTTTCCATCTTCTTAAAAGAGCAACAAGAAATACTTAGAAAGGGTACCCCACAAAAAACCTGTGTGAATAAATTGAATCAGACACCATTAATTTATTTGGCAGGAGAGAAGATTCGTTCAGGGTGAATCATTGTCATACATACATATCTTAAAAAGAAGGAATAATTTCTCTTCACAGTTTCCGAGCCTTGAGGATATGTGTCAAATCTTATAAACGGTTAGCTAAATACTGGCACTCCTATTATTATGTACGTACAAAATGCATACAGGCTTTTTCTGTACATGGACCAAGGTTGTAAACGAAACTGTCATCTGATTCGATTCGTTTTAATTGAATCTCAAACACCGTTTCGAAAGAGGATTCAAATTTTTATAGAAATCTTGGGGGATCCTATTTCTTAGACTTGGTGGGATGAAAAAAGTTGATTTTAAAAATCTTTCTAAACGTAGAATCTATGTGTACGCATAATATATTTTGGTTTATTATTGTGCACATGTCCATCCCTTCTACCTGCCAGCCGGTACAAGTTTCTACCTTGTTGTACATAAAAGGATGCGTTTCATCTCCGGATCATCTCTTCTCCAAATAAAAAAGAAAGAATTGGTTCCAAAAGGCTAAGCTGAGAAAGGAAGGAGAAGAAAAGTAATGAGAAGACGAAGGGTCTTTTCCTTCCTACGATAGTGGTGTGTATGCAGGAATGGTCATAAATTGTGGGAGACAGGCCATTAATTGCTCCTTCTGGACGCTCTCCTAATTACTCGACAATAGCAACAATAGCAATAAGCAACGAAGGCGGAAAGTAGCAGCAACGGAATAACTAACTCGGCTGCTGCGAGACTCAGGTGCATCTTCAACTCTAATTCAAAATTCAATCCTTCCTTGTGTGGAAAACTGGCCAGAAACATTGTGGTCCATTAATTATTAAGGAAAATGCACTACTTCCAGTTTCCCCTCTTTATTTTGATATTACTGGAACGATTGAACAACACATTTTGGTTACACATACTTATTTACACAACTTTAGTTCATACATACTCTTACAACGTATTTACAAAAATTCAACTTAAATTCAACTTTGCTACGATGCATTTG